AAATATATTAAAAATATAGTGTGTCGCAAACAACTTGTATTTTAGGTGTGATTAACCGCGATTAATCTTTGCCCAGCAGTAATATAACATTACATTTTGTAAGTAACTTGTCCAAATGTTTAAATATACACCAGATTAATTGGCGGTTCATTCCACTGTGGCGTCCCCTGATAGACTGGGAACAAGTTGAAGTAAAGTGATCTGAACTGCTGCGTCTTTCAGAGAAGTGATGGATGCAGCGCTGCTCTTCTCGACTGATTGAGATCTGGTCAAAATAATACTCGTTATTTAAACTGATTTTAAAGCACTGGTGTTCACAAACGTCAATAACGATAATGAAATGTTCACGTTTCATCTTCATGGCTGTACTGAAGTTAAATCTGAATACAGGATTGTGAATTTTGTGCACCAATAATAAACTCCACTCATCACTGTCATCATCGTGTGTATGTACCCTATAGCTTTATGTTAATTATGCTGGTGTAATGGACGTGTGCAGTTGAGTGTGCTACCTTGACTTCTTTATAGGCCAGTGTGTTGTACTGACTGACAGTGTCCTCCAGGTCGCAGCAGAACAGGTCGTAGCCTCCGCTCCTGGCGTAGAACCCTTCGCTGATCCTCTCATTCATGGACTCAGACAGAACCGACAGAAGATTTTCACATTTGACTTCTGAGGCCTTCTCATTGTCCCACAGATAGCGATCAAACTCCTGACCGATGGCCTCCTGAAACAGCAGAAAAACACCACGAGCAGAGCCTTAGAGTCTGCCGGATTACACAACTCTAGCAGAGGAAAACAAGCACAAGCCCAGAGCTGTTTCACCAAACTCCCTCTGCAGAACCGCCTCTCTTACTCTGAGTGTCCTGTCCTTTTCCAAATACCTCAGAACTCTTCAGTTTTCTAGATTAGCAAAACATACAGTCTTGTTTTCAGAAATAATGAGTCAAATGAAGTTTGTTTCTCCTTAAGACAAGCTAAATCATCCGACAGTGTATTAATTAATTAGTTAATTAGCAAAATAATGATTTACGTGTATTTGGCTCACCTCATTGGCGGATAATTCTTCTTATTTTAAAGGTGCCGAAGTAAATCTGGCTAACCCTAGGCACAGTGGAATTATCAGGGTTCAGTATGTGGAGATGGCCACACCGTGAGCCTCAGACATGTTTCCTCATTCTCATGTAAAACCCGGGTGGGCAACAGGCCAATCAGAACACACAGCAGACTGTTGTGTGACGCACAGGCCACGCCCTCATCATTAGCATGTACTTCAGGTCGTTTATCTGACCTGACGAGCAGCCGTCATCAGGAGAACACAGGCTGATATGCAGATCATTAATATTCCCCCTGTACATTGTGTTTGATAACTCACAGCGTTTCCCAGTGAGACACCAGTGATCATTTCCCTCCATTACTTGTGTTAAGCTTATACTTAATATTTACTCTCTGTGTGTGGGAAGACGAGGGGCTCAGGTTGTTTACTGTGCATTAGTGAGCAACACGAGGCATGTTCATACCCACTTCAGGACACAAAATGCAGGATATACAGATTACACAGTGATTCAGCTCCACCCTGAAGAGGCGTGAGGTCACAGCGGAGCTCATTAATATTCACGACCGATCCAAATATGGTCAATTTTAGAACTTCTTATTCCAGGGGTATTTGTGGAGTGATATATGAGCTTTTACAGCCGTTTCACAAGCAAATCGTCTGCCAATGTGCTGAGCTGAATATTCTTTATTCTGCTTTGACATGATTATTTCTCTTCCCTCATTGGCTGATTATCCTGCATGTTTAAGAAGAAACTCTCTTCATTTGACTCATTATTTCTGAAAGCAAGGCTATTTTATTCTTGTCTAGGAAATGCTGACTGATTTAAGAGTTTGGACAAGACATGAACTAAGAGAGGAGTTACTGCAGTCTGATCTGATTTAAAAGCATCAGCCGTAGTCGTCAGCTCCTCTACCTCTAAAGACGCCAGGTGTGTGCCGTCAGTGTCCCTGAAGCAGCGGATCATGAAGGTTTGTTTGGCCATCAGACTGAAGCACTGGTGCTCCAGAGAGATTTCCTCCAGCTCCAGAGGGAAGGCTCTCTTCTTCTCCTCCATTCCCTCCTGGTACACCTGCAGAGCCTCCTGCAGCGCCGCCTGGTTCTCTATCTGGGCCAGCGCCACCACTGCGTTCTCCAGACACGGCACCGCCCCGCTGGAGATGGTGTTGACGTACAGCTCCGCTAGATGACCCAGAACTGCAGGAGGGAGAGAGGAAAACACAGTCACAGACAGACTGCACAGGTGGACTACAAGCTGGGCCTCTTTAAAGAGCTCCTATTGTCCAGAATCGGCTCTTACACAGGGTTTAAACCCAAGCAGTGTGTGTGTGTGTGTCAGCACTGTGTGTGTGTGTGTGTGTGTGTGTGTGTGTGTGTGTGTGTGTGTGTGTGTGTGTGTGTCAGCACTGTGTGTGTGTGTGTGTGTGTGTGTGTGTGAGTATCTCCAGCAGTCTCTGATGCTCAACATGTATTAATTGTGTTTGTTCTGATCAGACTTGATGCAGGAACACTGTGATTGACATTCTCGCTTGTACGTGTAATTAGAGGGGGAAAGCCCCGCCCACTAATCTCCATCTCATTAGCATGTCCAGCAGGCCTGAGTGAGAAGCAGCCGTCTGTCCATTAGCCATTAGAGTGTTTGAGCTGCTGAAGATCATGTCAGCATAGACTCAGAGGATTATAGATGTGCAGTTCTAGATGAACAGAGACAGGAGCAACATAGACTGACAGAAGCATGAACACACACTCACACTGAAGCGCACACACACACACACCTGACCAGCACTCACAACACACACACTGCTGTTTCACACCTGTCGCACAGCCGTCTGTAGCTCCACCCTCTTCTGAAAACAGCACAATCTCATTTGCATTTACAGCAACTAATAGCTCCTCCCTAAAGGACAGAGCACAGACACACTTGCCCTGGCAGATAGTGTGTAGAATGTTCTGCAGCAGTGGCGTACCTCTGCCGGTGACCGTGTGCCCGTCCTTCAGGAGCTTGACTGGGCTCTGCTCATTGATGAACTGGCAGAAGCGATCGCTGACCTCCAGAAACCGGTCGGAGATCTCCGCTGGGTCCAGGGACTCCAGGTCACACACTCTGTCCGGATGGCTCGGGAACGGGAAGGTGAAACACTTGCGGGACGGGAAGTATTTCCGGATGCACTCTCTCGGGAGATTGTAATTCTTCACTTGGACTGAGTTTCCTTTAAAAGAACAATACACACACACACACACACACACACACACACACACCAAAATACCGGATTTGACAGCACTGTAGGCTGAGTATCAGACTCTGAATGCTGATGAACACAGGAAACTGAACACATCTGCAGTTAGTCTACAGTTATCCGCTATAATGGACTTTTAAAGCGGATGTCTGTTGTGTTTGTCTATATATTTAATTAATGTGTACATATAAGTGTGTAAGACAGTGTCTGGTGCAGATGGAGAGGAATGCGTGTGTGTTTCTGACAGATAAAGCATGTGCTCATCCTCTACTCAGAGGTTAATCATTACCGGTTTTCAGCTTGAGGGCGAACTCCAGGTATTGATCCTCTGTTGCGTCTTCACCGTCGATCTTCAGCTCCAGGGTGAAGTCCCGCACCGCCCAGATGAAGCTCGGGAAGAACTTGACAAACTCTGAGTCATCTACAGCTTCATCAGGGGATTTGACCTTGATATACTCCGTCAGCTCAGTCACATATCTGTGCAGCGTCAGTCACGGAAACACTCAACACTACAGTATACAGAGCTCACTGTAAACAGAAGAGTGAACGTTCCCGAGATATTCTAGCTAATGTCCACAACGGACAACAGAGACAAGCACAAAGGCCACGTCACACTGAGTGTGTAGCACTAATGTTCTCATGACACTCCTCTACAACCTCTCACACACTTACAGCTGAAGTTTACTTCTGCATCGAGTGATCGCCCTGGCCCATGACGCACGTCTTGCGTGTAGTTAGCGTGTGCATTTATACTTTGTTCGTCTGTTAATCTGCGTTGGTTCTGTTTGTGTTGCTCAGAACACAGCTACTGAACCACTAAACTTCTGGAGCTCCTCTGCAGGAGTCCACTCTTGATAAACACTCCCACCACTGGCCACGCTCCGCCCACATGGGTCTCGCCCCGCCCACACTCATAACCCCTACCGAGCTGACCAATCACAGCTCTTGCTCTATGTCACTGCGTACATTTGGAAATGGTAAATTATCAGCGCGGTGTTCAGTCTTCAGGATACTGGAGCTCCTCGATGGCCTTGTTGTCGATGGTTCCTCGACTGTTGAACACCAGAGTGCTGCTCAGCAGAACCGCCAGACTGAAGATGATGGTGTCATGCCTCGAGTCGCCCTGAGACAGAAGATACGGGGAGCACACACACACACACACACACACACACACACACACACACACACACACACACACACACACACACACACACACACACACACACACACACACACAGATGCTGACTCATTAATCAGTGGTGCTATCTGTGAAGTCTTCCATGACTATATTTATTCATGCTCAGTGTGTCACCTTGTCCACGTCTCCGAGCCCCTCAGTGTCCAGCAGCAGCAGGGTGGTCTCTGCTTTAGTGGGATGGGGAACACACCACATCCAGATGCCCTTGGTCTTGGACTCAACGGTGCTGCCCAGCGCAAACCCTGACGGGAAACACACAGCACAATGATCAGCTTCACTGTGTGTGTGTGTGTGTGTGTGTGTGTGTGTGTGTCTGACTGACCGCTGTGTTTCCCCGCCAGCCGGTTCATCAGGTAGGACTTCCCGGTGCGGTAGAGCCCCACCACGGCCACCACCACCACCGGCTGCTGGATCTGCTGGAGGATCTGCAGCGCCGCCGGCTGCACACACAGCTTCCCATCGCTGGCGGTGTCTATCAGGCACACGGGACTGTCCATGCTGACCGCAGACTCTGGAGATGTCCAATACACAGGTGTCATGCGTTTAATACAGTATAACCCGCTTACCACCTGACCCTACACCCAACACAAGCCTCACAGCAGACCTGTGGCAGATCCTGAACGCCAAGATGAGGGAACGAGCCCGCTAATGAAGCTTTATCAGCAACATGTATTACAAGAACACAAGACATGTCCTCATAAACCAGCTCAATGTTCTGATACCAAGAATAAACACACGACATTAGACACATCTCTGTCCCTTTGAACCCCCAAAACCAGTACACACACACACACACACACACACACACACTCTTGTCCAGTCTTCTGTAAACTCTCTAATATCTGTACTGCTGTTTGTACTGTACAGGCGGTGTTGCTGTCAGTGTAAAGGGTTTTATTTGCCTTTAAATATTCTGTGGTTTTTGTGGAAGATGTTTTATTTATAGATTATTTCATATTTTTATGTTATTTGGGAAATTACTGTATGTGAAATGGGACAATAGTGACACCTACAGGAGACAGAGGGTGGCGTTAGTTTACCGTCACGTGATCTTGTTAGGCGTGTGATGATCAGTGAAGGGAAGTTAAAGAAGAACTTCCTCTGGTTTTATATGAAGGAAGAGGCTGACAATATCTTGCTGGCTCCTGCACTGTGATTAGGAGATCACGAGGTGTGTTGAAGTGTTGTCTGTTCCAGCAGCTGATCTGTGCAGTTAAACTCAGTGTTGTATAGTGATGCTGGCTTGATGAGAAGCGCCATCAGCTGAGCTGCTGTACAGAAGGCGCGCCGCCGCCGCTGGTCAGCTCGTCAATGTTTCATTTCATTCAGTTTTTACGGTTTTTCAATGTGTGTCCCGCTGATAATATTAAATAACATGATGACGACCACGAAGACATTAAAACTTTCAGATATCAGCTGAAGCGTGATTCTTTTAACAGAAGAAAACACTCAGGAGCCGTTACATGCTGTATTCCACGCACACACACACACACACACACACACACACACATCTTGCCGAAGCAAAGTCGCCCAGGTCTGTTTGGACGCGCTGAGGTTTCCTGTAAACTCTGGCCTGGAGTGTGTTTCTCTGAGCGTTTCTTACCTTCAGCTTCAGAGGTCTTCATTGTGGCTCCTGTTATAAGCTCTCTCTCTCTCTGTGTGTGTGTGTCGACTCTTCCTCGGCAGTTCAGCAGTACAGTGTGTCTGACACACAGCTGTAGCTCAGCCTGACTGACCTGGGGAATTTCCTGCAGATGTGTGTGTGTGTGTGTGTGTGTGTGTGTGTGTGTGTGTGTGTGTGTGTGTGTGCGTGTGTGTGTGTGTGTGTGTGTGTGTGTGTGTGTGTGTGTGTGTGTGTGTGTGTGTGTGTGTGTGTGTGTGTGTGTGTGTGTGTGTGAGTGTGTGTGTGCTCCCCGTATCTTCTGTCTCAGGGCGACTCGAGGCATGACACCATCATCTTCAGTCTGGCGGTTCTGCTGAGCAGCACTCTGGTGTTCAACAGCCGAGGAACCATCGACAACAAGGCCATCGAGGAGCTCCAGTATCCTGAAGAACAGCACTCTACATACACTACACTGCATTACAGTCACAGCCATGCTCAAAGCAAAGATCTGCTGTCACATGAGAGTGTGAGGAAACACATCTAGCTTACTGCTCAGAAATGGAGAACAGAAAGAGGATGTGGTGGGGACAGTTTAACAGCTGATGATCACTTCACTAATGCACTGATGGAGGTTTAGCTGCAGCTGCAGTTGATGATAATCGTACAGTAACCATCATGCTGCTACTCAGTTTTGACTTTTTGTTTTTTAAACACAATTTGGATATATGGACAGCATGTAAAGCTTCAGCAGTCAGATTCAGGAACATCACTGTAACACGGCTGAAAGAGGAGGCAGGAGAGCGGCGAACGCTAGAACTATTG